TTCAAGAAATAAATTGTTCACTTTAAATGAAGTAGAATAAGAAATTTATAGGAAAAATTCGAAAGAAATTCAACAAACCTTCTTCTCTTAATCCTTCTCGTCCGTTTCTCTTGTTCTTCAATTTCTCCCAAAATAACACTCTGATAACGATAAGAATGAAAAGGAATCGTTATTTCTTATCCTAGAAGGTAATCATTTGCTAAAATTGGAAGAAAACGAATCCTACCTTGCTCTCGCGTGAAGTCCCGACCGTCCGCCCTTCTTTGTTCGCGCGAACAGTTCTGTTCCGCGAACTGTCTGTTCCGCGGTATTAAAAGGGTGAGCCGGCCGGTTCGATTGAACCGACCGGAAGAACCGGTTGTCACAATCTCCCTTCCTTAAAAAATTTTGTCCTCAAAATTAAACAAGTATAATGAAACATACCTTAGTTAAAAAGATGAGGATATTGACTCCTCATTTCAGCTTCTCGCTCCCAGGTGGCATCTCTTTCTAATCCATGTTTCCATAAAATCTTCACAAAAGGAATTGCTTTATGCCTCAACTGTTTTACATCATATTCCAGTATCCTTTCTGGTTCTTCAATATATATCAAATCAGGCTGCAAGTCAATCGATTTGGACTGTATTCTCTTTGAATCATCTGAGACATACTTCCGAAGCACTGATATGTGAAACACATTATGAATTCCTTGCATGTGTGCTGGTAGATCCAATCTGTATGCCATATTCCCAATCTTTTCAATGATTTCATAGGGACCTATGAATCTTAGGTTCAACTTCCCTGTTTTTCCAAACCTTTGAACACCTTTCATTGGGCTAACTTTTAAGAAAACAAACTCTCCAACTTCAAATTCCACTAGCCGGTGCTTTGCATCATAATATTTCCGTTGCCTGTCTTGAACTGCCTTTAATCTGTCTCTAATCAATCTGATTTTGCTAGTAGCCTCATCTACCAATTCAGTTCCAATTATCTTTCTTTCACCAGTTTCTACCCAACATAAGGGTGTTATGCACTTTCTTCCATAAAGGGCTTCATATGGTGCCATTCCAATACTAGCTTGAAAATTGTTGTTGTAAGCAAATTCAATTAATGGTATGT